TCTAATCTTAGATTTCATCCCTCTGACAAGGCAAAATCCATTAAGTGGAACAGAGAAATACCCATGCTCAGTAACACTGAACGTGGTCCAAAGGCAGCTCATCTACCACCAGCTTTCTATTAAATTTAAAAGATTGTTTTCTAAATACTTACCCATCTGAGAATAGAATCATATTAGTCAATAACTTCCAGCATTATTTTGCCTGAAAGAACAGTTTCAAAAAGCTATAATTTAAGTCTAAGGAACTTTAATAAAAGCTGTCAGAGAAAATAAGAGGACTTGTGGGAGAGCTGTTCCTCACCAGCAAGCAAGTTCTCTGTGTACAGTTCCCTGGAATGCTATTGCAGCAACACATGATATTTTTCAACATATGCAGAAAAGGATAACCTGAGAGGCTTTAAAAAATAACTAGTTATAACCACTTAGTACATGATGGTTTTTGAGAAATATCTCATTATGCACAGGTGAAAAATTATTACTTCACAGTGAAACACAGAATAGAAAAAAATATGGAAATGATAGAAATGCTGAAAGAAGCAATTTTTGCTACCTATCCTGATGGACAGAAACACAGAGGAAATTAAATCATATAAGCAACTCCATGATTACAGTAAAAAAAAAAGATCAGCTAAGTAGCAAAGTTTCTCAAATAAAACATTATATAGACGACCACTCTGTACAGAATACTCATAGAAAAGCTCTTCCTGGTATAACAAAAATGTACCTAAATGCACATTTCAAATATCCTCAGAAACATCAGGTTCAAGGATGTTTTTAATTTTCCCAGCATAAAAGCTTAGATTAAATGCAGACAGTATTATCACCAACAAATTCTTCATGATCTACACAAAAAGGACACTACCAAACTAAAGGTCAATTTTTGTTCCCTTCTAAATGGAAATTGCTTTCAAGTGGTTTTCACAACTAGTACTAGAGAGGTGAATTTTCAGATAAGGGATCTAAAACAGCATCTAAAAATGCAACCTTCCCTTTAAATTAAGAAGCCACAGGAAGAAAAACACTTCAGGAGCTCAGATAGGAAGGAGACCGGTGCTCACGTGACCAAGAACTCTTTTAATATTCTAAAAAATGGTGAATAATAGGTGACAGGTAAATGACCTCACGAAAAGATGCTTCAATAAACCTTTTCTGTTCTTTATAAAATACATGTTTACCTCTCCAGCCTGATATAAAAAGCATGCCTTCAGTCCAAAGCCGAATTTTATGTGTTCCCTCATGCATAAGCAATAGAAATAGGATATGCAGAGGCTATATTTTGTTTTATTTTTTTTTAAGAAGAGTGAATAAAAACCTTGCACTCAATTGAACTGCATTTCCCCGTGATAGAGTGTGAACACTGCACCTGACTGATTCCTAAATGTAATGAAACACCCTAAGTGGCAACAAGCAGCATTCTATTGCTTCTGTTAAAATTCAGAAAAAGAAACACATGCCAAGTTCCCAGCATCGATTTAGGACTGTCAGCAGTGCCAGCCACCTCTAAGTTCTCTACTGATTCAAAGAGCCAAATGACAGTGCACAGAAACCCCCTCCAGAATAATTACAACCCCTCTCAGCTCTGCCCACCTCCTAGTTTGAAATGATGGGTCCCTTAATAACTTCTCCATCAGGCAGAGCACAAAAAGCAGAGCATGAGACTCAAGGGCTTCTGCTGGAGGAGCCCAGAGCAAATGATGGCCCAGAAATGAGGCACGGTGCAGGCAGTGGCAATGCACACACTGCATATATAAGGTTTATTTCCTTAGCTATTGGTGCTACAGGACAAGGAAAAGAAACAGCAAGTAAGGAAATGCCTTCTCTGGTTAAACAAGCTCTAAATTAAGGGAGAATTGGAGCAGAAGTCTTGTGAGTTAACACAAAAACAGCCACATGAGTTTATATTCCAGACAAAAACTTGTCTCCCAAGTACTTTTTTTTTTCTTTAATAAATAGTTGCACTGGAATTTTAAGAACTTGTTTACAATTTAAGTTTCTTTAGAGAGCAGATCAAATAACACCACACTGTGCAGCAAAACAGGACAACATCTTTCTTTCCTCTCTTGAAAACCAAAGAATTTTAACACAAACCAGAAAACTATCGTGATTTAATTTCTTGGCACTCTGTAAATATTGCCTTCTCTACAAAAGTTACACCTGAAAATTGCTTAGCACATAGAAGGCAATGAATTCCTTGGGGCTTAATTCTGTATTCTTTATTGTGTACAACTTCTTTTGAAGTCAATAATAGTGATGTCATGTTAATTTTCCTTACATCTGCCAGTCTTATCTTAGAAGAGAAAAAAAATAAAAATCAATCCTTTAGTTCCATTAAAAATTCCTTGTAGACTGCCTTTTGTGCACTTGGTAAGTTTTGAAAGTATCTGAGAAAATTAACATTCAGCATACATATTAATAAAAATAGAGAGAAACAGAGGAAATGAGCAAAGTGTAACAAAACTGCTGATACTGGATAAAGGCAAACCCTTTCAAGAAGACATGCATTAACACCTTCCTGACAAGTGAAGACAGCAGCAAAAACCATCCAATCTCATCTCTTTCCATTGCATCAACAGGAAATCCAACAATAGCAAAACTGGTGAGCACAGGCCCTGCAGCAGTAAAGACAGTTCTGTCAAGCACAAAATAGATGGTGAAATTGTGAAATTAAATTGTGAATTCCAGACTTTATGCAGACTTCCATGACAGAAATTCCTATCCCCCTTATCTGTACCCCTTTATCACACACACAGACCCATATGAGTGATGTCATGCTGTATGATCATAAAGGAAAAATCTTGTTTCTCCTGTATTCCTGAGGGCTGTAGAAAGAATATCCTTTCACAAGAAAAATACTGGACCTTTGACTTTCAAGTTTTGAGAACTTCATCCTATTTTCATCTTTAAAATATGTTGACAAGCACCATTTCTTGTTTGAAGAAGCCAAAGTGGACAGCTGCAATGTGGCACACAGCACCTAAACCATCAGATTTTTGAGCAGGATCTGGCAGGGGAGATTGGTTTCTCCCCATGTTTTACTGCAGAATGCCTGTCTAACAACATCCCCAAACTGACTTCACTGGTAATTTTATTCCATAATATTTTGTGCCTCCTGTAGACTGAAGTTTCCTGTTTTCCCATATCTTTTTACTTTGTGTGGTTGCATATTCAGTTGCAAATTGTGCAGATAAACCTGAGTGACAGAGACAATATTAATCTGAGGGATCACAAAGAACATAAACCCAGCAAAATCTTGGAACAACAATGACCATAGCAGCCAAATTGATGTTCTTGATTCTTAGTTTTCAAAGTGCATGCTAGAAGTACAAGGACAGCACACCACCAGAATGATAACAAGGATGTTGTTAATTATTAAGTGAATCAATGGACTGTCAGTCATTCCAACATGAAATAGATTCCACACCATAAACCACAATTCTTTCATGCTCAGTATTTTATTCATGGCTGAATGCAACTACATCAAATGAAGAAAGGTACCACTATCTTCCACCTTCTGAAGTGCTCAAAAACCCACACAATTAAAAAAAAATTTACCCGATAAAGTTACATGAGCAAATGTTTTTTGGTTCTGGATTTTACTTTTGGTCACTGAAACACAGTTTGTTTGTTTCTAATAGAGAGATATTTCTGTGATTTGCAAAGCAAACAAGCTACAGAGGTTATTTAAAATAAACTAAACATCATAAAACAGATGAGGTTCACTGCCTTTAATGGAGTAATTTATTTCTCCAAATAGTCAGAGAGGTCAAGATTAGCAATAGTTATTGGACAGACCAATCCATTTATATTCAATCATGAAGAAGAGAGTTAAGTACTGTAAGGCTGGTGATAAACCTGTCACAGCTTCAGTTAGCATTCCTTGATTTTCTCAGACATCCAAACATGAGGAAACATTCCAATTTTATGTGCTTTGCTTTATGTCTGACTTTTCCATTTTGTACTGCTAAATGACCACAACACTTGCATTTAATTGTTTGTTTCAGATATATCTTCAAATATATATGATTGTCATAAGAAGGTTTTGATCAGTGAAAAATGTATCACCTTAATGAAGTTCTAGAGATTGAACAAGCCATTATGCTAATGCTACTCAGCTACTTGAGCTCTGATGAGATCTTGGATATGAGTAAGTTGTGTTAATTTACCTTCCAGTGTGCAAAATTGAAATGCATTTAACTAAGTGGCCTGTGCATTATGTAAAACATAAACCAAAAAACCTTCCTGTTACAACACAATTAAACTACAATATTGCCTGGCCTCTGGCATTTTGATGTTTGATATATTGACAAAAGCTAAATGAAAAGAGGAAAACTGTACAACTTTAAAAAGTAGAAAAATTATTTCTGTTAGAACAGATTGACAAAGTATTTCAACACTTTCCTCTTGAGAGAAAAGCTATTACATAAATTCATTTCTGACCCACATTATCATCTTTTGTTCAGCACATCAGAATGAGGATGTTGTCAGAGAAACAAAGCTACAGAAGCAGGGTCTTCTCTTTGAGCCACTGTCACATCTTTTTGTGATGGTAACTCAATTCACCTTTTCTATTTCTTCATTTGGACACACACATTAACAAATATCTAAGTGTATTTTAAAATGGTGAGGCCACTTCTTCCTTCCTTTGCTTTTCAATAGAGCAAATTTTTGTTTGAAAACTGCTTTTTACACAAGTTCATTTATTTCATATCCATAAACAAAAATTTCCTCAGCAACTATTTATGGCATTCTGAATTATTATAATGTTAATTAAAGAATTCACATTATATGCTGCATGCAAAACATTTGAGAAATAAAATTCCAAGTATTGTCACTATAAACTTGTTCATACATAAAATTAAACATGTATTTATGGTCTGGATGAAATATCAAAGCTTTTCAGTAAGCATGAATTTAAAGACTGTTTAAACTTATTAGAAAACAATTTATTTTCCAGATTGCTACCCAGTGAAGCACAGTCCTCCCATTATCAGTCAACTTACTCAGTCTCTGAGCAGCCTCCAGGGCATCATTTGCAGAATCAGCTACAAAGAATCTCTGAACTGTAACCCCATGGTCTGCCATTATTTTTTTGCTTTGGTACTCCTGCAAGTTGAGCCATCGTCTGGGGGTTAATTGAACAGTCTAGGAAAAACAAGAGGGGAAAATAACATAATGCTCATTAAGAACAGTTCATGAGACAGCCCACTGAGCTCTTCCACCTTATGGTTATCTCAAACCAGCAGTTAAACAACACCCAGAGAAAAGGTAAAATACATATTGATTTACCTAAGTGCCTTTTCTTAACATTTGTGCATCCCAAGTACTCTGAAAGCTACAGATATTTTTTAGAAGCTACACAAAGCTCACTTGGCCAGACAAAAAGTCTTGCATTTAATATCAAGGCAAATTTGGCTTGATCTCCAAAGTCTATTTATGTTTTCACGTTATCCTCTGCTATAAAAATAGTAACAGATTCTTACATTAAAACAAATTCAGTTTCATGTTAAATATCCTTATGATATGATATTTCATCTAATTCCTCCCTATAAAATTATTTCCACTGATTCTATGCATTTGTTGAAGTATATCTGAGAAGAAAAACAACTGGCATGGAATTAGCATTATTCTGCAAGAAACTAAACACTGGTCCATGTATTTTCAGTGGTCTGCCATCTCTGCTTTGTGCTTCTAAGCAGGTTTTGTTGAGGACACCAGCACAGCCACATCAGCCATGCCAGGCCAACAACAGCTGGATAATAATTCCCAACAAGCCAGTTTAGACACCCCTGTGGGAATATAAACATTTCTCTACACCCCATGGGCACAAAGACACAGCAACCTTACACACACAAAGACACCACATTTGCTTGTCCTGCCAGGAAACCTGGAGACACTACAGAAGTCACAGGATCTTCACTCAATGGTTTGAAGAAAGGACACATTCTCTACACAGGAGAAATTGTTCCACACAAATGCAATAATTAAGGAGCTGGAGCTGACTCCTGGCAATGGTATAATGGCAAAGGTGGAGCTGGCTACTGGCAATGGTATAATTCCATTTTGTGCCAGCCAAAGATGCTTTTCCCACGTGGAGAGACAAACTGCTGTCCTCCTGGCAGCCAGCCACAATCAGTTCTTGATTTGTCCTGAAGTAAGGAATACAGCATGCAAGTCAGCACCACGTACTTAGAAATGTTGGACAAAGAGGATTAGTTACTATACTAATACTTTAATCTCTAATAGCATGATAAAAAATTATTAACCTAATGCAACTTTATACTGAAAACAAAAGCCTTCCATGCTAAAGTCTTTCAATAACACATCCTCTCACAATACCCAAGGTTTACAGGCTGAGTTGTCTCAAAAGCAAACTCCCATCTGTTCTATTCTCTTTGAAACAGCACAAAAGATTGATGCATAAAGAAAACACAAACCCATCTTTTACAGTATATAACTGCATGTTTTCTGTAAAAGTGACTCCCACTGAACTTAAACAGTTACAAATAGCTGAGGATGACATTTTAAATCCTTTTATGCATAACTTGATTACCATATTTTAGAGGAACAAAATGGCATTGTCAGTTTGCTCTATGGCTATCTCTAATTCTACACATCATACAGACACCTCATATGATTTATATTCCTCCATGCTATTCACAGACGATATGTTATTACAGTTATGCAATACTTCAAATGCAGGGTCAAAATTTAAAGTCCCTTTCATAATTGTTGACATTTAATTTGTTTTCCTATTATAAATTCTCTGCTAGGCTCTAATAATTATCACTTCAGCATCATTTCCACAAGGAGATTAACACTAGGGGCCAGGAGGGACCCTTTTGGTTTATCTAAAAAGTTCTATAGGTCAGTAACACAGCTAATAAAGTTTTGGTCACTGGTTTTATAATTTAAGACAAAGTTTTCAAAACAGCTTTTATTCATAACTTAGATCAATAAATCAGTTTCACATGTAGGCATTACTAAGCTGATCTAAATCATGTAAATAAGAAGGAAAATATTCTTTCTGGAGAAGACTTTTTGGCTGTTGCTTGATGGGAACTGAAGTGATCTCTGCTCCCAAACACCCTCTCAGCACCTCACAGGTGCTTTTGGGATACAACAGCTTTACAACTCAAAAATAGAAATCAAAATGTCCAACAGAGATACTCCACAGATGAGATGCTAAAAATCTTATTACATATGCATAAAGTGCAGACATACATAAGCATAGGGACACATGTTCTCTTATAAATATTGAACGATTAATATTAGGATATTATGACAATGTTTCTTTCCTAAATTATGAACCAGACCAGTCAGAGGAACACAGAAAGGAAATAAGAGAATAATTCCTTTGAAAAGTGTCAAAGTAGTCCTAAGGGTGATCAGACAAAGCTCAGCTCAACAAATGCTGGCACAGGAAAGCAAAGCCGACGAACTCCAGGTTAGTGGGGTTCCCCCTGCTCTATTACACAATTCCAAGAAAAAACATTTTACTGAGTGCCAGCTGAGGACTTTCAATCAAGTCTTTGCACAAAAGACAAACCCCTGGTTGTGAATGAACTGCTTGATAAAATTAATAAATATCTGAAGTCTCTACCAGAAGCTCTGAATAGCAAGGAACATGAAAAGCTTGCTTTAAAGCACTTGCAGGATGCACACCATATGTCATGAGGACAGCAGAAAAACTACAGCAGTTACAAGCGATGAAATAAAGCACAAGCTTTGAATCTGTAAAGGTGACTGCTCTTTCAAGACCATCTTGAAAAATCAAAACAGTTGTGGACATGCATTTCAGGGTGAAGACAAAACAAAAAAGTGACCATGAAATCTCAGAAACATGAGTAAACAGATGCTACTTCGAACCAATTTCCAGTCCAAGATGGCTTTGTTGCAATAAATCTGTATCTGAATTTATACAGGAATCTCAAACCCCTGCCCTTCACATACATTTATACCAAGCATTCTCAAAAATTTCAGACGGGCTTCAAATGGCCTGAATTCTTGGGCATCATAAACCTTTATGCATTCTACAGATAAATCCACACGTGAGACAGACAGTAAGTGCACCAATGCACAAAGGTACAACCTCAAAACTCTAGGGAAGAGCTTACAAAGGTTTCAGAGAAAGCTATTTCCCATGGACACTCTTCTACAGGCAGCCATAATCCAACCCTTCCCCCTGAAATTTATTAGAAAGAGATTTTAATCCAGCACAGAACACAACTCTGCCATCACATGTCTGTTTTTCTTACTTTCTCATTTTACAGATGTTTCATTGCTTGCAGCAGCACCAAACATCACTGTCAGATTTGCCAGTTCAGTTCCAGTTCTCAACAAAGACAGGCTAAAGAATTAAATGGCAAATCAGCATCAGAAAAATAATCTCAATCTGAAAGAAGGAGTGGAGGGAGCAACTAAGAGAACCTAAAGCACAGGAAAGCAGAGTCTAGCTTTTAGGAATTCTGTTCATTATTGATTCTCATCACCTTCTATTAGCAGCTTATCCCTGCTTGAATATTTTTATCTCTTCTCCCCACACATTAGTCAGAAAATGTATCAGAAAACACCAGAGATCTCTCAGATCTTTCCAAGAAGCTCTGTCCCAGCTGACACCCAGTATGTTCCAGAAGTTCAAGATGTAGCTGTGTTTCAGCTGTCTCTGTATTACAAGGCTGGGCTGGAGTAAAAGAAGTAGATCCTGTCCCACCAGCTTGTGAAGAAGAGACTGGAAATTGTGTGTGGATTTTAGTAAACCCTGACTCCCTGTGTGACATCTCATCTTTCATCTTCATAAGATGACACACAAAGAACCAGAAAATTTTCCACTGGTAGCATTTTTTTGTTTTCCTTTCAATGGGAACTTTGTGTTGTGTATTGATGTACACATTGAAGATGCAGAGTGGCTCTTATTTGTGATTTAGATCTTCCTGGTAAATCAAAAGGTGTTGTTTATTTTTAAACCACAAATAAGTTTTAAGAATAAATCAGTTTGTAAAACTATTTTTTTCTATACAGAAAATAAAATGTTGATATTTAAAATAATAAAGCTTTAAAGAGGAATTAAATTCATCATTAATCAGATATTTCTTAAGATTAAATTTCTAATGTAAATGCTTACCAAAGAGATTAATACACTTAAATAGGACTCTTTTACAACTGATAACAATTCCTAAGAGCTGACAACAACATCAAAAATCCCAAAACTGAAGTAAGTGGAACAAAAGGCCTTAACTGAGCAGTAACATGAATGGAGATGAAGGCAGAATTATTTTATCAAGAACAAATTTCAAAACAGATTTTCTCCTGCTGGCTAGAATTATTTGGCATTTTCCAAAAGCACAAAGTATTGGCTGTGTTTCCCCTCTAATATCCCTTCCCTTCTCCAATCTCCAAGATTTTTCTTACCAGTCAGAACCACACTGATGTATACCAAAAGCATATAGAGTGAGGAGGATTTAGAAAACTACTGTCACTGGGAATTGTGTATTTTGTTCTGAACAAGTTCTGTTCTTCTTTATATAAGCAGAGCCCATGGTTGGTCCCAAAGCATGATTAAATGAGTGGCACACACATCAGGAAATCAAATATTTCTTTTTGATCATCTTAACAAGGTCAGGTGTTGCAGAATTGTATCTGTGGTTTATTGACTACTACTTGAGGAAAAATTGATTCTTCATATAACCTGCATAACCTCTTATTTACCACCTTTTTGTTTGGTGGGTTTCTTTCTATAAAATACTAAGGGCTCTGCACAAATAATGTATTTGGAGAGCAGTTGCATTATTCTTTCACTGTTCCATTTGCCAATTCTTTAGCTGCCACATGACATGAAAAAATTTGTATTATTTAAATAACAAGGGCTAAAAAAATAGCAACTTAGTTAAACAGGAGTGGAACTACAAGTAGATTTTCTAGCAGAAATTTGCTTCAATGTAAGCAAAAAAACAAAACCAAAAAACCAAACCCCTGTCTAAAACCCCCCAAAGAGATTTAGAATAGAAAACACTGCAACAGACATCGCTGTTATATATGCAGCATTAACTACTCTGATGTGCAACACCTTTCAGATGACCCAGGAGGTATCTTTTGAGTGCTGGCTTTTGGAAAAAGAAAACACACACACATAAAACCAGA